AACGACCCCGAGGGCGGCAAAGATGGAGGCGTACGACGATGCGAGAGGCAGAGGCGAGTACGAGGCGAGCTTGCCAGCGAGCTGGCGGTTGATGCCCATGTCTCGGAAGACGCCGGCCTCTGCGAGGATGGACGCCTCCCACGCCTCAATCTTGCTCCGCTCCGCGTCGCCCGTCGCAAAGCCGGGCAGGTGAGCAAGCACGGCGCGAGGGTTGACCTCATGTACCCGCTCGGCCGTCAGGCGGAGCCGGCGGCACACCGCTGGAGCGAAGCCGACGACGACAGCGTCGGCCGCAACGAAGAGCTCGTCGAGCGCCTCCTGCCCGGCCGGCGACTTGAGGTCGAGGGTCACGACGTCCTTGCCACTCCTCAATGCCCTCGTCGTCTCTGGCCGCCACGCCAGCTCAGCGCGCTGCCCCCGAGCGGACTCTGGTCGCACCACGGCCGTGACTGACGCGCCGAGGTCGAGGAGGTGCCGCGCGGTGAGCGGGCAGGCGAGGAAGGAGCCGATCTCGACGACGCGGAGGCCGTCGAGTGGGGCAGTGCGGCTGTCGCCGTCGGACGAGGATGAGCTGAAGGTCGAGGCCATCGCCCTTGGGCCGCCTTGGTTGCCTTCCATTTGGCGGTCCGTCAACCAACCGGGAACGTCCAAAGCTGATTGCTCGGAATTTCACGTAGTTTCCACAAATTTTTAAGGCGGCGGGAACGATGGCGGCACTGGCGGCCGCACCGCCTGGTGTGGACCCCCAGGGGCGGCTCCTCGACCCAGCGGTCGCTCCAGCGGCGGGGGCGGAGGCGGTGGTGGTGAGGGCGGGCCTGATGGCGGTGCCGGTCGCCACAACTCCTGGGGCGGGGCCTCAGGGGATGCCCCCTGCCCCTGCGGCCGTTCCAGCCGTGGTTCCACGCGTCGCGGCCGTCCACCCCGCTCGTGGGGGGGGGGGGCTAGCTCTCGTCTCCCCCCGAGAAGGGGGGGGGGCAGGGCCCGGATTCGCCGACGGCTCCGCCTCTCCCCCCCCCCGCTCCGCATCAGGCCGCAGACTGCGCAGTAGTCGCGTCGCCTCCCCCCTCACCCGGTCCCTCTCGATTCGGTCCCACACCGACCGGATATCAAAGGCCGAGTTGTGTTCGGACAGCGGGCCCGCCGATGCCGCACGCCTCTTCACACAGCAGGCGTGCGCCTTCATCGCCTGCCCCCCCGACTGTGTCGGTCCCGGTGCAATGTCGTTGACGAGGGGTAGTCCTCCCGCTCCCCCTCCCACCGGAAAACCTGTCCAAGAAGGTCCGTCGAGCCAACCAGTCGTCTTGCCAGGCTCCGCACTTCCCGCGGCTGCACCGGCCTGAGAACGCCGGTGCTGGCCGCGAACGACAGACCGATCGCCCTAAGCTCCGCCAGGACCGCCCTCTCGCCCGCTGAGGGAGGGTGTAGAGGATGTAGGGTGTAGAGCGCTGAACAGCTGTAGGGATGTAGAGCTGTAGAGCGCTGTAGAGCTCTACATCCGGCGCGGGACGAAGCGGGTGCGTTGTAGAGCGATGTAGAGCGACTGTAGAGCGCGA